TTTTGCATTTCCGTTGGTAATCCAAATCTATCGTGATTCCAAATCCGTGAACGCCTTGCTCGTATACATGCGATGCACAACTCTACATGACTCTAGACTCTCGACTAGCTATCCTATTCATCGTCTTTGTCCTTCTGATCTTCGAGTCTTCTTCCTCTTCGCGTACTAACTTCTCTCCTGGCAACCTAACGGCCTTGTCAAGCGCAACAGGGAGACCTCGATGTCGGCCTCTGAGGATCACCAAGCACAATACAAACTTGCTACCTCGGTGCATGCCTCCAGCCATGCTGTAGCTTTTTCCTGGTAAGCCCATGGACAGACCAACGCACCCATAAGCCGAAACAACCTCAAACAACACATTAAAAACACTGTAGGCAAGAGGTTGTTCAAGGAAATGGTCGGTCTCGATGATCATGATAACGATGACCGGGAGGATAAGCCACCACATGTCGTGAGCAAGCTGTCCACGAATCTGCTGTCCAATGAAAGAGATGCGAGAGTTATCGTCTGGGCCTTTGGGTGGAGGTCGCACGCCAACGCCATGGAAAGTCATAGATTTCTTGACCGTCTTTTGAGCTGCAGCGGTGACTCTCCGTCGTAGTGCAGGTTTTTCTGGTTCCTCTGAGATCGTGGGCAGAAGGTGGTTTCCATTTTCGCTTCCGTTTCCATTCTCTGCTTCCACAACTTGAGGGTCATCCTCATAAATGCCAAGGGATCGTTCCTCATAGACGTTGGAGTGGCGCATTGTAATTGAGACAGGGTACACGGAAATGTACATCATAATCATGTAGAGCAATTGGACGGCGGGATAGAGACCTGAGATAGAAACGACCGCGAAACCAGCAGCACGAACAGCTTGAAGTGTGTCAGTAAAGCAATCAGATAATAGAAAAGTTCTTACTTACCAATTGCTTGGAACCATCCAGCAATGATACGGTCAGACACTGGCATAGCTTCTACAACATCATTTCCGATATTCAAAACTTCAAAAGCAACCCAGTCAATCGTGTTGATAGTAACAATGACGGTGAAGAGCCACCATGTAGCACCTGACGGGAAGAGTGTCGTGTATACTCGGCGGGGATACTTGAGAATGAACTCGATCGTCTCTTTCCATGGCCCCAGAGTTTTGGGCTCGGTGGTCAGTTGCAATAGCCTAAGACTACACCAGAGAAAGAACCTCAAGAGCAGTGGGTAGCCCGTATTCCCAGCAAGGACAAGGATGCCAACGACGATGAGAACGAAATATGCATCCTGAAATGCACCCATGCCGGCGTCATTGAGTGACATGCCGGCGTTGTTAAATGCCGAAGACGACAAGAAGATTCCGCACCACCAGGGGTTGACATCATTGACGGTTGCCGCGGACGGCCGGTTGATGCTGATCCAAGCACCCAGTGCAATTCCACATACAGCTTGCCACATGAAGGCGTAAAGAGGAACAGTGACGGCCAAGATCTTCAGCGCGCGGTATTCACAGCCACCCAAGGCCTCACGTTCATCGGATGATAGATCGTAGAATTGGCCTCTCTTGCTTGTATTGTGACTCCCGAGTATCTTCTTCCAATGCAGAAGAAAGTCTTCTGATTCGTCGCTGTTGACAGAGTCTGAGGTTGAAGGCCGTCGGTTGGGTTCCTCGTTCTCGTTCCGTCGATAGATGGACACGCTGTCTCTGCCGGCGCTTCGGGGCGACAAGTTGTCTGCGAATTGGATATGATCGCCGGTGTTTGGGGTCATAGGAGCATTCCGTGCAGGAGCTGCTACCTGCGTCGTATTGCTATCATTGCCGTCTGAGTCGGAGATAGAATCTGGAGGAGCAGTAACAGCACGGCGCATGGGAGCAGTTGTCTTGAACAAGTCGTTGGGGTCAGGTTTCTCAGTCGCTGTCCTTTGAACTGTTCCAAGACCAGTCAGGGTATTAGAAGTCTCGGTTGAAACCGGTGTTGTCCTCGCTTTGGCGAAAGGGAGGAACCTCCCAAGTGGTTTGGCGCGTCTCAATGCGGCCCGCCGTTTCCTCGCTTCTCGTTCTGTCCTGACGATATCCTCAAAACGCTTCTCAAACGCCTGCTTTCGTACCATGACCGTCCAGAATGAAACCCATAGAGCACTTCCAATGATGAAAAGAAGATACAGCAGAACCTGCTGCCATGTCGTGATTTCGGAAAGATTGACGGTATTGAGGCCTGTATCGCAAAAAGAAGACACAACCAGGAACAGACAGTCGACGTAGGGGATACTCTGGCTTGGCTCGCTGGATAGCCAGAAGATAAGCGAGAAGAAGAGGGATCCGAAGATGAAATAGGCGTAGTGAATGGTTATGAAATTGATGGGTGGCACCAGCCTCCCAGCCTGCGTGACGACCGCATCAAGGCGCGGATGCTCCTCACGAAGATCTTTCCATCGAGATGTGAAAGAGTCGAGCATCGTGGTAGTTGCGCTGGGTTTGAGATGCCAAGATGTGTACCCCAGCTGAAAGGGTCAGCTCCCAAGCAATAGGAGTGGAGCCTCAGAAAAGCTTGTTAATTTAGTCCGGCGTCGTTATTTGAAGAAGTATGACATTTCGATCACTAGACGAGACGATTCTGTGATGAAATCGCGGTGATGCCGAAAAACACAAGTGAGTGAGTGAGTGAGTGAGTGAGTGTTGAGTGAAAGAGTGGAAAGAAAGAAATAGGTAGGTTTCGCTAGCAGATAAGGTTAAGACGGAATACGGCAGATGCAAGGAAAGAGAGTAAATAGGATTTAATTATACGGCGCGGGCGTGAGGACGGAGAGACAAAGCCGAAAACGAGACAAAGAAACTGTTTGACTCGGGAGATGGTGATGGTGAAAGGTGCCAACTGGCGGTGCGTCAATCGAAAACTAACAGGGAGACAAGGAAGCCAATATGCTACACCCCTTGGATCCATCCCAATGGATGCTGTGCAACTGAGAGCGCAAGGTACCACCAAATTCAAAAGTTGAGCGGGCGCTAAAAGCTTACCGCGTCCCAATTGAAACGGTGAGCACAAGGTGGCCCGGTATAAGGATACGGTATTTACAAGGTTGAGGATCATGGAAAGGTCAAAGCTAGGTACAGACAAAGAGGGAGCCAACATTTGGATATCCATCAACTACCCTCAATTCTTGTTAGAAACAGTTGCGTCTAAGCCCCAATGACCTGATGAAGTACAATTGATGCTCCATTAAGGTTTAGAATCGGGATTGTCTCTGGCCATTCCCGCCAGTCATCTCCATATTCATCCCGTCCCTCCCGTCGCAGCGGAAAGTCTCTAAATACCTTAGTTCCCGGGGCATTAAAACGGGCCAACGGGTCCGTTCCGGCAGCGGATATCATTGGTTTTATCGTAATGGAACGCTGTTATTTTCGGCTTCACTTATACGTGTTTCAATCCCAGCCAACTTCAGTCTTGCTTCGCTGTATCCAAGTAAGCATTTGCTTGTATTGAGCATCTTTATGCCTACAAACGTATATACTTAGCATGTAGCACTGTCATCTATCATTCCTACTTGAGATTAGTCTTCACGTAATCATGATGTTTAATTTAACATCCGCTCCTTATCCAGTTATTCCCCTTTCATGGATTGACCCTTGCGAGCTGGTGTCTGAGCCTACATCCGTATGTAACGCCTTCCTGGGAGGAAACGAAAGCCCCAAATTGAGTTACGATCAATACTAGTAACACGCGATCAATATCTTTTGTTGTCAGGTGACGCGTGTTGTTGGGATATTGGAGCATTCCTTAGGCAGCTGTACGTTGTCATTGACCATTCTAGTGTTGTTCATTGTTACGATTTGCCCCAAAGATTGACGCATTATCACCAAAGCTATACAGCGCATCACCATTGTCTCGAAATGAAAAGCCTATGTGGCTGAAGGTTTGCAAGCATCACGGCGGTGAGGTTTCAGATACGTCACGTGGAATAAGTAAGAGCATAACATCTCAAGACTGAAATTAGCTATAATCGATTTCTCGAAGGGACTTGTGCCAGATCCTTGCTTCTAGTGTCTCATGATACTCTTTGTCATGAAACATCGTTTTAGAATCGTACCTACCCTACACTATGGAATACAAACTCACAAGCCTCCGACACTGTAAGTCAACAAGGGTGGGCTCTACACTGATAACACCAGGCTGGTCAATCGGTAAGTATGCCAAGTAACGCAGTAGAACTTGATAATAGTGGCATTCATCTCTGGTTCGTCGCTCGCCCCGACGAAATCGTAGTTCTATTGCCCACAGCCGTCTATGATATCTTCGGACGTCTGACATCAACATTGACATACGATCTTTAGTGATCTACTCATAATTAAATATCATCACGATGGAACAGAATAAATGACGCAGTATGAACAGTCGTTGACCTCACCGCTAGATATGAGATAGATTTATCAACACCCCACCTGCAAGTGAACAAAGTGTACATCCGGAATAAGCTCAACGATTTTACAAGTGACTCAAAGCAGGAAACCATTACAATAAGACCAGGGGCAAGACCCGCTCCCTCTCCGTAAGAAATAAACCGCCATTCAAGCCTGTAGGTCATACGAGATGTCCAGCTCAGTAGTGAGAGATCAGACATGCTCAAGACATCACCAAGTGCATCCGCATGACTCAGGCGCCCATACCTGCATATATCCGCTCATCATCAACATCCTTTGATGTAACAGAAGATCAGAGAACACCAATACATGCGGCCACCAGAGGCGAAGCCATCACAAGAACAAGATGAAGGTATCGTATAATGACGTCGAGATCTACGAGGCAAACCCTCTTGCCCGAGATAGACAGTAGACCCTCCCTACAGCGCGATTATGCACATCCGATCCACATGTCACAGAGGGCCAGCGTGGGGCTTGTCCCCGAGCGGATAGCACACGACGTTGACAGGATCCGGGTTTTGTTATCCAGCCTCTCATGGCTGAGTCTTAGACAGAATATGGTGTGGTATGGGTTGATACGTTATGCACAAAGTAGATCATTGAAGACATCAAATCCTTACAGCTCCTCGTGCTCAGGAGCGTCATCGGTGTCTGCAATGATGGTCTTGGCGGCATCAGCAGCATCGACGACAGCCTGAGCAACCTTACCAGCAACATTCTTGGTGGCAGATGCGGCAGACTCAACAGCCTCACTGATAGCCTCGGCGGCAGTCTCGGCACCCTCGACAACCTTTGTCTCGATCTTCTCGGGCTTGGGTACGCCTTGAATTCCAACGAGCTCTGTCTCGAAAACTGCAGGTTTGTAGTGTTAGGCGGTGAATATGAAGCGGGAGGGGCTGCTGGGAATAACGAACCCAGGGTAGAACCGGCAGGAATAGGGCCAATGGCTCGCTGACCGTAGCCGTACTCAGGCGGAATAGTCAAAAGTCTAAGTCAAGGGTCAGTAAAGAGGTGTCCCTGCTGTAGCTGTATGCTTTACGTACCGCTTCTCGCCGATACACATGTCGAGAAGACCCTCGTCCCATCTACAGAATTGTTAGCCTCGAATTTGTATACATCGCAGTAGTGAAGCTTACCCCCTGATGACCTGACCAGAGCCAACGACGAAGTCAAGAGGAGTGCCACGGTCGTAGCCTTGTGTCTGAATTAGCATGTGCTTTGTGACGATCATTAATGTAGATGCAAGGCGGAGGAACTTACTGGCATCGAATTGTTTGCCTGAGTCCTTAAGGGTGCCACGATAGTGCATTTGAACCCTGTCTCCCTTCTTTGTCTTGCGGTCGCAGACGACGGGAAGAGTAACGTCAATTTTGAGCTCCTCGGCGACAACGCCAATGGCGGCAGAGGCGAGGGCGGAGAGGAGGAGGGCAGCCTTCATGGTGGCGGTCGGGATAGATGCGGGGCGGGGAATTGAAGAGGTAAACGGAGGTCACAACGAGGTTGAGGTAAATGAGAAGCCTGAATTCGTTGGAGATGTGACGTCGACAGGTGTGGTTGGCACGTCGTGTGAGGCAGTGTGAATGGATGCGAGCGAGGTTGTCGTTGTATGGATGAAGCTCCCGTCTGGTCTGGGGTTGGCCTCTCTAACGTTAAGCTGCGACGTGTCCGTTTAGCGGCTAAAGGCTCTGTACTGCAGCGTGCGCTTCTAGCAAAACAGCATCATAGCTTGGAGGGTCAGGCTTAGGAGCCTGTTATTGGTCAATGGGGCCGGCCCGTCTGGATGACCCCATCCTTGATCTGTTTCTGGGTTGTCATGTCTCGCATCTCCATTTGGAAACTGGGGAGGCTGCAATGCCAGATATGGATGAGCAGAATCGAAATAACAGGGTCCATCCATGAGGATTTGCATCACGTTGGCCCTTCAACTACGTACACATGGATATCTGCAGTAAATCTGACGCATTACAAATATGCATTTACATCTTCTGTTTCTGTTTCGGTCTCGCAGGGCGAAACCATCCATGTGACTCATGACGATAACACGACGCTTCTGAATCAGTCACGACCTTGTTGTACAGCCAAGTGAGGCGCAAAAGGAAACATCCCTTGGCAGTCCCTGATTCATCACATCAAGGCTGTTATCGAAATAGGGTATCGCGACGTCACTGGATGGTCATGTTTCTGATGTGACCAGTAATCAGTGTCGGGCCCATCCGTCCATCCATCCGTGTTCAGGATATCAGGACTAGTAGGAATCGTCTGCTGCGGCGGCTAGGGCGCCGATGTACTTACGCGTGACTGCATCAAGGCGAGATGGTGTAGAGCTTCAGCAATCGACAAGTTTACTACTCGAGCAGGTGCATCAGTTCCTGCAGCAGAGATGCAACCCAGATGGGGGCACATCCCAGCCTGCAGGTGTCAGATCCACCAGCGCCGAGAAGCCCTGGGCCAAGCGCTTCACACGCTAATGCGCTTCACGATGAATTTCGCCTCTTGTCATGATGCTGTTTATCGAGACAGGGAGACATGATCGTCCCCTTTCAACCCCTTTCCGTTACGGTGGGGGGCATAGAGCTTCCATAGGCTCGGGTGCACAATTCAGAGACACGGTGACATTATGTTTAACTTTTGGGCACCGATAGGTATGAGCTTGAGTTGGATGTGTCTGTTGTACAAGGGCGATGCCAGTCATGAGAGTCGAGGCCTGCATCAAAGAAAGAAGAGAAAAGGGGGGTCAACAAAGACGAAGACACAGAGCGTGAGATTGCGAGTTGTCTCAGACAAAGAGTGGAATTGTGAGATTCACGAAGCGAAGCCTCACTCCCTTTCTTCCCCAGTCATGACGACCACCATGGATATTTTTATCTGTTCATGGTCACTAACTTAGTGCAGCTCCACGATCCCAAGGTTGTGGTACGTGTTACTGGCGCTGGTGCCTGTGGTGCCTGGACCGGACTGGACTCTAACCTCTAGCATGACGGCCGCTGCGAGTGTTTCATGCATTCACTCAAAGGCCGTTGCATCGTGAAAATGCCCCCGGTCTAAGCAAAGTCTAAGTCATCCTGAGGGGTTGGTATTTACCAAAGACCGATTACATGCACAACAGACCAGAAGAAGCGACTCGTGGCCCCCAATTACAGGCAACAACAGGCAAGGTCTTATCGTCTTGTCTCGTTTCATCCATTTTGAATCATTCTCTCCAAATTGTATCCCCTCAGACCCGGTCGGTCCATCTCGCGCACACCGTGGGGCTTGGTCCTTTGCCCTGCCCTGCATCAAATGCTGCCCATTCGCCCTACGTCGCTAAGGCTCCGCCCTATCCAGCGTCACCAACCTTCACTCGTTGACCTGAATTTCGCCACCGAGGGCCTGAGCAGTGCTGTCACAAGGTTTCTGCTATGGGGGACGAATGTTCTGCAATTGCAATGAGTCTTGCTGGGATGTTTTCTTTTAGACTCTGGTCCCTTGCCCTGGACAGCCAGTCGATGCCCAATGATTTGACTACGCCCCATTATGCTGCACCCCGTACTGTCCATTCCCATTTACACACCATCCATTACTAGCCCTCCCGTCCGTCGTGCTTTAGAGGCATGGCCCGCTTGCGGTGCCGGGCCCGGGAGTACGTGCTTGCTCGGGTCTTGGTCTTGTCTCTGACTCCTTTTGACTCACTCCCCTGAACTCGATGGAATTCCTTGGGTCCCCCCATATCGAAGGCTACCTAGTGTGCGAGATGCCTTGCGCTTTGCCAGGTAACCCTTGTCCTCCAGGCAGTGAGGTCTTGGGCTAAATCCACTTACAAATGACTGAGTACGTACTATCATTTCTCATCATAAAGCTTCAAATACATATAGACCCCCTTCTTCCTATGCCATTCCCTTTTTCATTCCCACCAAACACTCACAATACAAAGCCTTGAAAGAACGGACAAGATTGTCATTTCAACCACCAGCCATTTCGATTAACATCTGCAACACAAATATCACCTAAAACAACTACCCCTTACAACCAACACAACCGCAACCATGAGCTCCCCTTACACTGTCCAAATCCACCAGAGCACCAAGGAGCCTTCCATCTCCAGCTCTTACAGCTACTCTTCTGGTTCGTACAGCTCTTCAACCAGCACAACGCCTCGATCTCTCTCTCCTGGCGATTACCGCGAGTACGGTGCTGGTAAGTTTCTTACCACCGAGTCTCCGGGCTCTTTCACTTCCCAAGGTCCCACTCTGACATTTGATGCAGACAAGCACACTACACAAGTCGCCAGCTCTGGTCGAAACTTGGTCATCAACCACAATAAAGTCTCGTACGAGAAAGACTCGCCGGCACCAAAATATTCTGGCGCATATACGAGGATCTAAACAACACTTGGCCACAGCCATTTTTTCGATTTCCTATGTTTCATCGATTTCGAACAGCGACATGTAACGGATGTGGGATATACACAACATAGACAGGCGTTTTGACATTTGGGGATATGAGGCAAGATTGAGCGCAGCATGGCGATGTATTATGGGATTAGAGAGCATGGGTTGCACAACGATAACCAAGATTGATAGACTCTGGGACGGGTTGGATTGAGCCGAGACTGTTTTCCCTTTTCCTTTTTTTTTATTTTTTATACTGATTGTATCATCCTTTGTACTTTTACTATTCGAGCGTCGGACACTTTGCGGTCCGCGCTGAACTTTTTAGAAGGGCCAAATCTCCCGTCTTGACCTCTTACAAGTCGAGATGGCTGGATGAGATATGAGACGGCCCGTCGGACTGGTCCGATTATAGCGACCCAATTTGAGACCATGGAAGAAATTTTCCAACACACCTTTCAGCTGTTTCAGCTCCTTTCCAATTTCATCTGTGCTTTTTCCTTGATTTTTGGAAATTTCAAAAAAGGGTCCAAGACACCAAAAAAATTATTGATGGTGTGACGGGTTGGGTTGGGTCTCTGCGAGTGGATGGGGCCCTTGGGTTCCCTCCCGCTCGGTACCTGCAGCCCAACCCGTGGCAGGGATTCTAGAGCTTCTGATATGCAGTGTCTCCTCCACTTTGGAAGTGTTTTGAAGAGGTTCTCCACGTTGGAATTTTCTATTAAAATGGCTTAGACTGTAAAAAGATGAGATGGAATTCCCACTTTCTGCGGATCAGTGACTTTGTCTCTGCCCAAATGGTGTGTGAACAGCAGTCAGAGTTGCATTCTCACACCCCAAGCTTCGTGTTAGTACGCAGTCGTGTGAGGCTTTGGGCATTTCAGGATTTTACAGTGTTCAATATACTATAGCAATTACCACGGTCCAAGCGAAGGCCTAATAGTGCCCATTCATTTCATATCATTTGTATGCACAACCATCCATTCACAGTCAGGTTATTTCGTTACCAAAAAAAGATTTCCATTTCTGGCATCATGAGTACCGAGGCTCATGACCCCGTCGCATGACATCATGCTCAAGCGCCACCCTCACGCTTGGCATACTCGTCCTCGATAGCCTCTTCGTACTTTTTGGCCGCTTCGTCCTGGGCAACAGTACGCGGGTCGTCGTGCAAGACGCCCTCCTTAATGAGATCCTCTGGGTCTGGACGGTGTGAGATCTTGTCGTTAAGCTTATCCTCGAGCATGTGCTTCTCGAGCTGTGGGGGCGTCAGCGACTGTGGCTCCATGGTTTGAGGGTGGACTCACCTCTTTCTGATGCGCCTGGAGGCCTGGCGCTGCCGTAGAGGCTGGAAGGATATTCTCTGTTCAGGGCATGTAAGCATTGTACATGCAAGGATGCAATGCGGGGGGCTGCTCACTATCTACGAGCTCGGAGCGTTCGGGGCGGTGCTTGAGGTGAGCTTCCAGGGAGTTTCTTCGCTCTACAGGAGAAATGGGAGACTCGTCAACGAGCTTGGGCTGCTGTTCAGTGTCGGCCATGGCGGTAGAGTGTAAGTTGGGTAAACAGGGCAGTCAAGTCCAGAGTAATGTGTGTATAAGTGTAGCAAGTACTGGTGGTGTAAGTGATCGCAACAAAGTTTGGAGAAGAAGAGGGTAAACAGGTCTCAGAAGAAAGGGAGGCGGCGGTCTTAAGTTTATCTACTCCAATACTCTCAAGCTAAGGTCTCAGAAATGGGCCGTTGATGCGGCAGCGCAATGCCATGTTTATGCGCATTGGATGTTTCGTCGGGCGTGGTTGGCTTGGGCCGCTCACCTGTTTAGTGAGCATGCCACCTTTGGAGGTTGCTACCCCGCAACCAGGAAGCTCGCTACTGTAAGCTGCGCGTCAGAGGACAGGGGATTGGACGATCAGTTGCTGGCTAAACTGAATTGAATCAGATTGTTAATTGTTTCCTGGGCGGATGTTTTGTTCTTCCGTTGGTGATACTATCATGATGGTTAAGAGATCGGTCTGGAGCTTGTTTGGCGGGGACTAAATGCAGGCCAAGACGCTTGAAGCTGGAGATGAACGGAGCATCTGGTGGATAAGCGCCACTTGAATTTACTATCGGTGATTGATTGCATACTGGTAGATCAATGCTGTTTGTATGAGCTTGCTGTTTCTGATAACTCTCATCCAGCTTATGCTTTGATATCTTCTGTCTAAGCTCCACGGCGGGCCTTGTTCTATCACTATCTCAAGGAATGAGACGTGGTCAAAGTTAGACCAGTTCGCTGCGGCTCAATCTGAGCAAACTTTAGTATAATTGAGGCACGCTTGTTCTCACAGAGGAGCGTCTCTAGTCGAGTTGACAGCTTATCTGTACGTACCTACCTACTAGGTATCTACTAAGGTACCTAGGCTCGAGTTGCTGCTGACGAAACCGTTTGGACAAGTCATCTTTGTCAAACCCACCCCAGCCATGTTCCTCAGTATCCCTGCAAAATACACTACGACAATTGATAACAAACTCCTTCGTCTCCGGCTCAAATAGTCAGGATATGAGTCGACTGCTCACTATTAGATTTTGAAGACTTGCACAGCAAGCCAAGATGAATCTTATTCCCTGATGATACCTATTATCCCACTGCACAATGACGACACATCGGGCATGAGCGAGTAAAAAGCAAGGCAATATTCGTTATCGCAGGGATGACCGAGTCGGGATATTATTAGAATCATCCCTAGAACACCGCAAAAGAACTGAATAAACAATTCCACCTCGAAATTCTTATGATTTATGCTGCCTAGAGCAGACTTTTATTTGCCGCGCGTTTGCATACAATAGCCAGACGTTAACACTTGCTACCGCCACTTATTGCGTAAGGCTGCACATAATCCAGGGGGGCTGTGCCGGGCGGAAAATTGTCGGCGTTTCGTCACCCGTCAGGCACCAGATCATCACTGAACACAACCTCCCAAGTCCAGTCGTCTCCAGCCACACCAAACCTACCTAAGCTCCAGACTTTCTCCTTTGGAATTAAACCTCGTATTTTCTTCTCTGGCTTTTTCACACCAGAGGCCTTCAATTATTCAACACGGGATTAATCTTCTGATGCCCGTATAGATACAAATTCAAAACCCATCTCTCGCTTTCCCCCTCCCCACTCTCTCCCCCATAAGTCGCACATCATGGTACGGGTCAACCTTTAATATCGGCGTCTTTTTTGGCTGACAACTTTTACTCAACTCTCAGGGAATATCAAGACGCCCTAAGAACAAGGGCGCCGGTGCACCCGCGGATGGCGCAAGCGGAGGCGCGAAGCCCAAGAAGGCCACCTTTGAGACAACCAAGAAGAAGGAGATTGGTGTTTCCGATCTGACTCTGCTGAGCAAAGTCTCCAACGAAGCCATCAACGATAATTTGAAGAAGCGATTTGAGGGCCACGAAATTTATACCTACATTGGCCATGTGTTGGTCTCAGTCAACCCTTTCAGGGACCTGGGCATTTATACCGATCAGGTCCTCGAGAGCTACATGGGCAAGAACCGACTCGAAATGCCACCACACGTCTTCGCCATCGCCGAGGCCTCGTACTACAACATGAAGGCATACAGCGACAACCAGTGTGTCATTATTTCAGGAGAGTCAGGAGCCGGAAAGACCGAGGCGGCCAAGCGCATCATGCAGTACATTGCTAGTGTGTCTGGTGGGGAATCCGGAGACATCAAGCAGATCAAGGACATGGTGCTGGCAACCAACCCCTTACTAGAGTCTTTCGGAAACGCAAAAACACTTCGAAACAACAATTCCTCGCGTTTTGGCAAGTATCTACAGATCTACTTCAACGCCCAGGGCGAACCCGTGGGTGCCGACATCACAAACTACCTCCTGGAAAAGTCACGAGTGGTGGGCCAGATCACGAACGAGCGAAACTTTCATATCTTTTACCAATTCGCGAAGGGCGCTTCACAACAATACCGAGAAACATTCGGCGTTCAAAAACCTGAGACCTACGTCTATACCAGTCGGTCAAAATGCTTGGACGTGGACGGTATCGACGATCTCGCCGAGTTTCAGGACACGCTTAATGCCATGAAGGTTATTGGCCTTACTCAGGCTGAGCAAGATGAAATTTTTCGAATGCTGGCGGCTATCTTATGGGTTGGAAATATCCAGTTTCAGGAGGATCAGGGCGGCTACGCAGAGGTTATCGATCGATCAGTGGTTGACTTTGCCGCTTACCTGTTAGAAGTTACCCCTGACCAGCTCATCAGCGGTATCACAATTCGAATCCTGACACCTCGAAATGGCGAAGTTATCGAATCGCCCGCCAACCCTGCCCAAGCACAGGCTACGCGAGATGCTCTGGCAATGGCTATCTACAGCAATCTTTTCGACTGGATCGTCGAGCGCATTAACAAGTCTCTCAAGGCGAGGCAACCGACAACCAATACAATCGGCATTCTGGATATCTATGGATTCGAAATTTTCGAGAAGAACAGTTTTGAGCAGCTGTGCATCAACTACGTCAACGAGAAGTTGCAACAGATCTTCATTCAACTGACTCTCAAGGCCGAGCAGGAGGAATATGCCAGGGAACAGATTCAATGGACTCCTATCAAGTACTTCGATAACAAGGTTGTGTGCGACCTTATCGAACAGATCCGGCCAGTTGGTATCTTCTCTGCTATGAAGGATGCCACCAAGACCGCACACGCTGACCCTGCTGCTTGCGATCGCACATTCATGCAGAGTATCAACGGCATGTCTCATGCTCATCTTACCCCTCGACAAGGAAACTTCATCATCAAGCATTACGCTGGTGATGTCACCTATACTGTCGAAGGTATTACGGACAAGAATAAGGATCAGCTTCTCAAGGGGCTTTTGAACCTCTTCCAGCACAGTGGAAACCAATTTGTTCATACCCTGTTCCCTCGGCCCGTTGACCAAGATAACCGAAAGCAGCCTCCTTCTGCAGGCGATCGCATCCGAGCTTCCGCCAATGCCCTGGTCGAGACGTTGATGAAGTGCCAGCCCTCATACATCCGTACTATCAAGCCCAACGAGAACAAGTCGCCAACAGAATATAACAGCCCCAATGTATTGCATCAGATCAAGTATCTTGGTCTTCAAGAAAACGTTCGCATTCGTCGTGCCGGTTTTGCTTACCGCCAAGATTTCGACAAGTTCGTTGATCGATTCTTCCTCTTGTCTCCTGCTACCTCATACGCTGGTGAATTCACTTGGGAGGGAACAACTGAGGCTGCTGTAAAGCAGATTCTCAAGGATACCAGCATTCCTAAGGAAGAGTGGCAAATGGGTGTTACCAAGGCCTTCATCAAAGCCCCTGAGACGCTCTTTGCCCTTGAGCATATGAGAGACAGATACTGGCACAACATGGCTACGCGAATTCAGCGCATGTGGAGGGCTTACCTCGCCTACCGAGCCGAGTCGGCGACTCGAATTCAGCGATTCTGGCGGAAGAAGCGAACCGGAGCAGAGTACCTTCAGCTTCGTGACCATGGCCACCAGGTTCTGGGAGGTCGCAAGGAAAGACGCCGCATGAGTCTGCTGGGTTCCCGACGATTCCTTGGTGACTATCTGGGTGTCAATGCAAGCACCGGCCCCGGAGCTCAGATCCGCAACGCAGCTAGTATTGGTACAAACGAAAAGGCGGTATTTTCATGCCGTGCTGAGATTCTGGAGGCCAAGTTTGGTCGATCCAGTAAAGCAAGCCCTCGAATCATCGTCGTCACCACCAACAAGTTCTATATCATTGCTCAAATGCTTGTGAATGGCCACCCACAAATCTCAGTTGAGAAAGCGGTGCCCTTGGGAGCCATCAAGTTCATCGGCGCCTCATCAGCGCGCGATGATTGGTTCTCGCTTGGCATTGGCTCCCCCCAGGAACCTGACCCCCTCATGAATTGTATGCTCAAGACAGAAATGTTTACTCAGATGCAGCGAGTGATGCCCGGTGGATTCAACCTTAAGATCGCTGAGACAATCGAGTATGCCAAGAAGCCCGGCAAGATGCAGCAGGTCAAGGTCCTGAAGGATTCACAACTTCCAGTTGATTACTATAAGAGTGGTGCTGTGCACACACAGCCCGGTGAGCCACCGAGCTCCATCTCTAGACCTACACCCAAGGGCAAGCCTGTACCTCCTCGCCCCATCACTCGAGGCAAGCTGATCAAGCCTGGTGGCCCCAACGGTCGACCTTCTCGCATCCAGGGCAACCGAACTGCCAAGCCTAGACCAGGGGCAGGTCGAGCCGTGCCTCAACCACCAGCTGCTGTCTCTAATATTGCCGCTGTTCCCGCTGCCGCCACCCAAAGCACTCCTCGTATCGCCCCTCGTCCTGGTGCCAACGCTGCTACTCCAATTCCCGCTGCCCACAACGCTCTCCCAAGCCATACTCGCAATGCTAGTGGCGCTGGACGTGCACCCCCACCGCCGCCTCCTCCTGCTGTCGCAGCACGTCCACCAAGCCCGCCCAAGGTGATGGCCAAGGTCTTGTATGACTTTGCTGGACAACGAGAAAACGAGCTC